TTTCGAGGGAAGCTACTAACGCTTGCCAAATCGTTATTGCCACCCGCTTGCATTACCATCCTCCACAACACCTTGACCCTAATTTCCTTACGGATGTCGGCCGGCCCCTTCTCCATTGCCGATCATGATAGCTAGCTATCTATGGGCCTCCGGCTTGTGACGAATCCACAGTAGAAGCGAGCTAGGTCAATTCCTCCCCCGACAAGCAAGTGGCGGGATTTGTTTGTAAGTAATCGTAACTCGGACTTATGCCCTAAACTATCACATTTTTCAACTTTCACTAAATCCAAACAATGTACTTTGCAAACCGCCGATACCAAATGTGAGTTATGGAAATTATGCCTTATGGGATATGTTGTCGGTAAATATCCGGGATTTAAAGCCCTAAATGGAATTATCAAGGATACTTAGCATTGTGAGGCTTCTTTAATAGTACATGAATCGGTCGGCTTATTTATAAATTCAAATCGGAGGAAGATAAGGTTTTGGTGCTTAATAGGGGACCGTATTTGGTTTACGGGTAAGCTTTGATTTTACGACCAATGTCGAATACTTTGATTTTTCCATCTCCGAGATGGCTACCGTCCCTCGTTTGGGTCAAGCTCCCCAATCCGCAACTCAAATGTTGGTCCACTATGTGTTTGTCAAAGATTGCTAGTTTGCTAGGTAAACCTCTCCAATGTGATCGTTTAACCGCCTCCATGGATAGACTTTCCTATGCTCGAGTCTTTGTGAAACCGAATATTATGGAAACTCTCCCTCGGATGGTCGGCATCCTATTATCGAATAATACCACCCTCTTGCAGCCAAGTGGTTTATGAGACTCTACCCGTTCATTGCAAAATTTTTTGTATACTTGGGCATTCCACAACCGCATGCAAAAATCAAGCTCCTTCGGGTTTAAGTAAGGAATCCACCAATGGCGGTGAAGCTCGCCGGCGAGCGAGCCGTAACTAGTGCTTTCTAGCAACTAGGTGATTCTACCAAGGTGCGTTCGGCCACAGTCCACTCACCTCATGCTACCGGAGGCCGCCGAGTGGGAGATAGTTAAGCGCAAAACACACTCTTGCGAGCTACCGATAAAGGTAAACATGTTATGGTTGATTCCGCCATAGGTCCAGCGTCCCCTTTTAACACTAAGCCGATTGAGGTTCGGCTCGGGTGGCGAGTTGCAGCAACGGGGACACGGGTGGGCTAAACTGACCATATTGTTGACCAAGCCGGACAGGTAGGGCCATCGTGCCGGGGGTAGGCTAGTTTAGGGTACTTGTAGGAATGGCTCTCCCGATAGACAAGATAGTGGCAAGTCCGGGCCTCCCATCCAAGGGTTGTCCCCGACAAGGAAGTCGAATGCCTTAATGTTCCAGCTTCCCTCGGGACACCGGCTTGGACCCCTTGACCGAAAAGAAGAGCAGATCGCCGCAGCCACTTCACCTAGGCGAGTCGCTAGCAGAGTGGTAATAAAAGGGCGAGACGAGGGGTCGAAGGGGCTCAGCCTCTTTCGCTCGTCCATGATTATCTATAGCTGGAATATCGGAGGACTTAATAGTCCTCTCGAAACAACATGAGGAAGTGGGTCCCATGAAGGAAAAGAAGGTTGATGTGTGTGCATTTGTTGAAACAAAACTCGCTCCGTTAAGCTTGTCAATATGCATCAGCCTTAGACTCAAGCAATGGAGCTTTATGTCCAATGCTACGGTAGCGAGAAATGCTCGCATTGCATTTTTCTAGAATTCAAGCACCGTCACAGCTTGATATGTTGAATGTTTCTATTCAAGGTCTAAATGTTAGGATCACTAACCTTGTGCAGCAGCTTGTCCTTTAATGCCACTTTTGTTTACGGGTTACACTCCATCACTACTAGAAGAGGGTTATAGGTCGATCTTTGTCGATGGCGACCAAACCGCCCTTGGATTATTCTAGGGGACTTTAACTCAATTCTCTCACAAGCCGATAAACATAAGGGTGCTGCTTGTCTCCAACTACAAAACCGTCGACTTTAGAAGTTGTTGCTCGGATCTTGGGCTAACCGACCTTAACTATACGCGAGCCATTTTACTTGGAATGGGGTAGATGTATGGACAAAAATCGACGAGTTCCGGCTAACCCTTTTGGTCCTCCACCAGTGCAGCCTACTCATGTTCATTTTGGCCCTCCCGGCGCTTTTTAGATCATTCTCCAATTATGGTACACTTGGGCTCCCGTGTTCATTCCGGGACTCGAAGCTTGAAATTCTTCAAAATGTGGGTCGCCCACGTTGATTTTCCGAGAACAATGACCGATTGTTGGGAAGCTAGAATCGGTGGTACCCTAATGTATGTCCTTTATCACAAATTGAAATCTCTCAAGGAACCACTCGAAAGCCGAACACACTCCATTTCAACCACATCTCCCAAAGGGTGGTCAAGGTCGAATCCGACTTGGTCGTACTACGATTGAGCTCCACTTAGATAGAGATAATTTGGAGCTTTGTTAGAATGAAAAGAGGCTCCGACTCCATCCGGTTAATCCGAAAGCCTCGAAAAAGATGTTCTTTGGTCGAAATTAAAGTGCAAGTTCCTTAAGGATTGCGACAAAGGCACTAGTTTCTTTCATCGCTTTATGAATTAGAAGCACAAAGCCAACCATATTGCCGCACTTAAATGGGAAGATGGGCGGATCATTACCTCTATTGTAGAACTAGGAGAGGAGTTTGTTTCCTATTATCAAAACCTTTTCGGTACCACTAAAGATACGGTGCCCTCGACCCGCACATTGTTGCTAGTGGGCCTCGATTACAAATGGCCGGCCATGACCGGCTTTTCTCCCCGGTCACGATGGATCTCATCTGAAGACACCGTTCAAGCATAGACAATGATAAAGCACCGAGCCTCGATGGGTACTCTTCTTTCTTCTTCAAACGAGGCTTGGGAAATTGTTAGGAGAGACGTTTACACAGCGGTTAAAGAGTTTTTTGTATCCGGAAGCTCCTCAAACAAGTTAGCCACTCTTTTATAGCTTTGGTCCCAAAATTGGCCAATGCTACCTTGCCAAGTGACTATAGACCAATCTCTTTCCGTAATGTTGTTTACCAAGATCATTTCCTCCCGGCTATCCTTGACTCGATGGATATAGTTAGTCCTATGCGGAATGCCTACTTGGGGGTGAAAAATGTCGGACAATATTTGCTTCGTTCGAGAGTTGCTTCGAATGTATGGACGAAAGCGATCTTCTCCGAGGTGCCTAATGAAGATTGATTTCCATAAGGCCTTTGACTCTGTACAATGGGGTTTCTGAAACGACTTCTATTACAATTAGGCTTCCCGGATAGATTTGTTGGTTGGATTATGACATGTGTTGAATCAACTTCCTACTCCATTTCGATCAACGGGGCCTGTTTGGGTTCTTCTCGGAAAAGCGAGGTGTTAGGCAAGGTGACCCCCTCTCTCCCTACCTATTTGTGGTATGCATGGAATACTTCCCTCGCTTACCGAAGGTTGCTGCAAGGAATTTTGTCTTTCGCTTCCACCCTCAATGTGGAAACCATGCCATTACCCATCTAGCATTTGCGGATGATGTCTTGTTGCTTTGCCATGGAGATGTTGTCTCTATCGAGATTCCGTCCGACCACTCGTCAATCTTTGGGAGTGTATCCGGCCTAGCCATTAATGTGGCCAAGTCCTCGATCTTCTTCGGTGGGGTGGGAAGTGACTTGAAAAACTCCATCCTCCATGAAACCGGGTTCCGTGAGGGTTCTTTCCCCTTCAAATACTTGGGGGTCCCTCTAAGCCTTCATCGCTTGCTTGTTAGCTAGTTTTCCCCTTTGCTATATAGTCTTGAATCCACGATTCGAGCTAGATGGGAAAACATCTATCCTATGCGAGTAGGCTAGAACTCCTCAAGTCCGTCCTCTTCAGCATGATACAATTCGGCTTGCTATTTTTCTTATGCCTCCCGTGGTTATTGCACGTATCACTAGTATGTGTCGAATTTTTTATGGACGGGAGATGTCAATAAGAGCTCTTTGGCTTTAGTGGCTTGGAAAAGCCTCTACCGCCCTAAATCGAAGGTGGCCTAGGAGTCTTTGACATCAAAGTGAAAAACCAAAGTTTTCTAGCTAAAAGGCTTTGGGACATACACCTCAAGGCCGACTCCATTTGGATTCGTTGGGTCCATCACTTCTACTTGCAAGATTGCCGAGTGTGGGACATTGCGGCCCATCGTAATGCTTCGCCATTATGGAAAGCTATTCTCGATTTGAAAGACTTGCTTGTTGTGAAATATGAGAGTAAAGCCGAAGCTATATGAGAACTTGCTCGATGGAACTCGGGAGAGGGAAGATTCTCTAGTATAGCATATACACAAGCTTAGGCCGAAGGGGAACCAAGTGTGTCGGGGTAGGGTGATTTGGGAGTCATTGTCCATGCCATGACATTCCTTTATTCTCCGGCTTCGCTGCTAGGAGTGCCTTAAAAACTAAGAATCACCTCTGTTTTCTTCCTACCAGCCGACGCATGTCTTGTTTGTGACCAAGCTACTAAGTCATATAACCATTTATTCTTCTCTTGCCCTTGGATAGCGAACCTTTGGTTGAAACTTAAGCGATGGCTACGAATTCGCAGAGGTATGCATACGCTCATTAGTGCTATCGGAGGCCTCTCCTTTCATCGTAACAATCTTGAAGCTAAAATGAGGAGAGTGGCCCTTAGTATCACGGCTTATGTCATCTAGGAAGAAAGAAACGAGCGCGCCTTTGATGCTCTAGCTAGCTTGGTGGATAATGTGTTTCCTAAATTTTAGATTATTTTCTATACGGTATTCTATTTTCATGAGTCGACCCCTTCCTCTTGTATGTGGGCTAGCCTTGATTTATTCCTTGGTAAGTTCACGGAGGTCTTCTTTGGTCAAGATGATGCTCGTTGGTTCTCTTCTCTTGATTCAAGTCTTTTTGGGTTGTTCGGCTACTCTTTCAGAGCTTCTGTGTTGTATTGGTTTCATTGTTTTATCTTCGGGGGTTGCACCTTTGTTTAGGCCTAACTTGGATACTTCACTCGAATGAGGCAAGCCTCTGCTAGTTAGGGGGTCTTGTTGAGTTTCACCACCTGCGGGCTCCTCGGCTACCGCCACATATTGGTCAATGTTGATTAGTCGGCGTTGATTTAGTTTTGGCTTCATGCTCCCGCTTATGAGATAGATTTTATTCCTTACCTAGCCGGTTCCATCTAGTCTACTCGTGTCCGGTTCGCTGGTTTGGGAGGGCTCGGCTCTGTTTTGTTGGGCCGTATGGGCGCTCTTGCAATTGGTCCGGTTATAACGTTTTTAGGCTCTCCGGTTGGTTTGGTTTTGGAGCTCGCCCTCGTTGTCTTACCTCTGTTTGGGCCTCGTCTTGGCTACCTTGCCGTGTCCGCCTCCTATGGCCTCCTTGCTACTCGTCTCATAATCTAAATGGGCTTTACTGTGCTAGGTCTAATGCCGTGTTCGGCCTTCTTCTCGGTGGTGGAGGCTAGGCCTAGTCTCCCTCCCGGTCCGTCCAACGCTTCCTCACGTCCCTAATTTATGCCGGTAGGGGTCCGGTTGGTGTGATTCTCCTCTAGTCTCCCTTGGCTATTGTCCCGAAGCCTACTTGGGCTTTGCCGAGCTTGGTTCCCCACCGTGTTTTGCTTATCCTTAAACATCATAGGTCGGGCCTAGCCTTACTTTGCCACCAGACTCGTTGTATGTTCCAGCTTGGGCATCCGCCCCTAATTGAAAGGTCGCTTCTATATGTCTTTCTTCCTCTCGTTGTTTAGCACCTCGCCAGCACCTCTTGGTTCTTGTTTCGGTCCTCGTCGCATGGACAAGCCTTCATTTTTGCTCCCCATTGGCTCTCTGCTAAGCCTAACGCCGCTCGCTCCTATCGGCTATCGTTTCTGCCGTGCTAATAGTTGGTTTTGTAATTGCTTCACAAATCCGGGGTTTTATAGGTGGTTTCCTCCCTTGTCCAGACTCGGTTGGTAGGCGGTGCCTTCCCGCTCATAACCTCTCCGCACGCCCATACGCCGTTGATCCCGTCGATTCATGTTGTTTCGTCGTGCTAGTAGCTAGCTTTGTAAATTGATGGCCGTAATTTTGTAAATTATTGGTTTTTATTTAGTGCTTACTCAATAATGTTTTTGTATGCTCGTAAAGACTTTGTAAATGGTTCCGGTTAGCTAGCACACGGTCCCTATCTCGTTTTTTCTCAAAATCTCTACAATGTTTGATTCCTTGAACAACCATCTAGTTCTAGCTCTTTGTTTTTGATTCATTGGGAGCTCGTTCCCAAATTTTGTAAATCCTATAAATGCTACTATTGCTGGTTCTTTTTTCCAGCTTGGTTTCCTTTGATTTATATACTTACATTTAAAAAAAAAAAAGAAAGAGCTCTTAGTGAGTTAGTAGTGCGTCCGGAGAGAGAAAGAAGAGAAAGATGCTCTCCTCCTTAAGAGATCTTCCTTCATGTTCGGCTACGCCTACTATTCCCCTTCTTCTTCCCCTCCCCTTGTCCCTTTCCTCTACCCGAACCTTTCCCCGCCCTTGCCTTCCCTCTCGTGGTTCTATCCTCTATGGTTCCGTCCACTCGCTATCCGTCCCCCTCACTACCTTCTCTCTCCCCGTCTTCTCCCCTCCTTCTCCCCTCCTCTCCTTTCCAGCATATTAATGGCAAGGAAAAAGAAAAAATCTACCACCAAACTTCCCTCCTCATCGAGACGACTTGGTCTAGCATCTTAGATTTTGGCCTTAGCAGCCCCCACCTATCCCTTCTTCTCTTCCTTCGCCACTATCACTCGTTCATAGAAATGGCAAAGCTCCAATAGAGGTTACCGGCGCTAAATCCTATGTTAACCCTACTTCCCTTGATCCCATCGAAGCCGAGGACCGCTCTAGTGGTGATGAATTGGCCTCCGATTCCGCTAGTATGGAGGAAGAACCGAGCTTTGGCCGAAGTTCAAATTCCCACCCACTAGATTTCAAATTTGTGTTTCCCACCCGGGGGACTTTCGGAGGTGGGAATCGGTCCGTTGAGGAGGTTTCGAATTCCATGAGGCTAAATTCCATGTCTTCCCCAAACGTATCTCCCCCAATCCCGGATCGATTTTGGCCGCAATCCGGTTTCCCCCTCAAAAAATTCAAATTTTGAGTTTCTCGCTAATGGGGATAGCACGTCCGGCCACCAACTCTCTTCTCGGTCCCAAGCCAAAGGGCAACCCATCGCAACTTCCACCTCTAGTCCGGGCTCCCTCTCCTCCCCTACCTCGGATTCCTCCGGTCACCAAGGTCGGCCACCTCCTTCTACCTCTACCAAACTAGGTACTTCTAAACTCCTTTTCGCAAAATGGAGGGCTTTATTTGTCGGCAATCGTAGCACTACCACATGCCCCGAACTTACTCATTTTAGTGTTATCACTACCTCACAATCAAGTAAATTACTTGATGATGATCCTCAATGTGATATTTGAAAAAAAAGCTTGGTTGGTTATATGGCCGGAAAGTCCCTAGGTTATCGGGCATTGAATGGTATTATTGCGAACACTTGGAATTGTGAGGCCTCCTTGTTGATGCATGATTTTGGCTAGTTAGTGTATTGTTTTGCCTCTAAGGAGGCTAAATTGTCCGTGCTAAATGGGGGCCCTTATTTGATCTTTGGTAGACCGTCGCTTCTAAAGCCTATGCCCGAATTTTTTGACTTCTCTAGTGTGAAAATGTCTAATGTCCCTATTTGGGTTAAGTTCCCAAATCTCCCGCCGAAGTGCTAGTCTCTATTATGTTTATTTGAGATTGCTAGCATGTTAGGGAGGCCCATTCAATGTGATCGCCTAACGACCACCATGGAAAGGATATCGTATGCCCAGGTCTTGGTTGAGTTGAATATCATGGCAGATTTGTCGCGAGTTATCAACATTAAGCTTTTGAATGGTTCCATGTTGCTTCGGACCGTTATTTACGAGACTTTTCCCACCCATTGGAAGGTCCGTCGAATTCTAGGGCATTCAATGATTAATTGTGCCAAGCGCGTGTCCGAGGCCTAGGTGCCTACCGCCACTACTATTGCGGTTGCGCTAGGCGCCGATCCGCCTCCTCCAATGATGCCTTAGCCCAAGATCTTCCAGCGGATCCAATGTGTTCGAGGCGGTTCCTAGCACGGGGGACCGGGTGATAGTTAAAAGCAAGGCCAAAGGTAAGGCCCATAGAATGCTTAGCATCGCCGGCTCTCTTTAGCTCGATTCGGCGGTCGCGGCCCATTCTACCTAGGCCGAGTTGCTCGGGACACTCGGGTCTCTCCTTTAGAACCCACCAACAAGGTAGGCCTTAATGCTTCGTAGGTACGGATGGTCGGGACCCCATGGGTGATATAGCTCGGATATCCACTTGTGTTGAGCGGATTGGTCGAGGTCGACTAACCAAAACAAAGGCTAAGGCGGTTAGTCATGGTGGTCGTAGGCTTGGGCCTATCGGTGGTGTTGATCCCGGTGAGAATATGGCTACGATGGTTATCGTGGCCGAGCAACTATCTAATGCGGTTCGGTCCGGGGCTCAAGTGGTTTCCACTCGTGGCGTAAATCGTGGCATCATAGAGGGGGAGGGGGGTCTCCATCTCTTCCACTTCCTTACGTTAATATTCACCTAGAATGTTAGGGGTCTCAATAGTCCCCTAAAACAACATGAGGTGGTGGGCCTCATGAGAAAGGATCGTATGGATATTTGTGCTTTAGTGGAAACGAAGCTCGGCCTTCACAAGATTTCACTAATGCACAAGCTTTGACTAAAGCGTTGCCTCTATCGGCCGAATTGTCCTCTTTTCGAATTCGGCTTCGGTTCGGATCGATGTTTTGGATGCCTCGGCTCGGGGGCTTATTGGGTCTAATTCGTTCCGCGGTCAAGGACTTCTTCACCTTGGGCCAACTCGTTAAAGAAGATTAATCATTCGGTCATTACCTTAGTGCCCAAATCGGCCCATACTTCTACTCCCTCGGACATCCGGTCGATTTCTCGTCGCAATGTTTTTTACAAGGTGATCTCCAAGATTCTCTCCTCCCGCTTAGCTATGGCTTTGAACGATATTGTTAGCCCCTTACAAAATGCCTTCTTAGGGGGTCGACGGATGATAGATAACATCCATCTACTCTAGGAGCTTTTTCGTCGGTATGGGCGTAAGCGGGCCTCCTTGCGTTGCCTTCTAAAGGTTGATTTTTGAAAGGCTTTTGACTCGGCTCGGTGGCCTTTCTTGCGCGGCCTCGCTGGAACATCTAGGCTTGCCCGTTCTTTTCATCCACCGGGTTATGTCATGCGTTGAGTCCCCCTACTACTCTCTTGCAGCTTAATGGTAACCTCTTTGGGTTTTTTCTCGACAAAGCCGGCATTTGTCAAGGTGACCCCCTTTCGCCTTACCTATTCACTCGCTTGCATGGAATATTTTTCTCGAATGCTCCAGCTGAGTCTCCGCAACTCGCCGACTTCGATTTCACCCTAAATGTGAGCCTCATCGTATTACACACCTAGCTTTTGTGGATGATGTTATGCTTTTGAACCGTGGTGACGGGGCCTTGGTTATGTGTCTAGCTCGAAGTTTCAAGATTTCAACCGTGCCTTTGGCCTTTATATAAACCCTACCAAATCCTCCATTTATTTTAGGGGGTAAGCGACAATCACAAGTTTGATCTGCTCGCAAGCTATCGATTTCTCAAAAGGGGCTTTTCCTTTTTGCTACCTTGGGGTTTCTTTGAGCCCCTTTAGGCCGTCGGCTAGCCAATTCGATCGTTTCTTAACCGCTCGGAGACAACCATCCAATCATGGTCGGGGAAGCATCTCTCTTATCGTCGGCGTACTCAAGCTCCCGAGATCGGTTTTGGCTAGGCCGATTCGGCCCGGCTTGGTGTCTTCTCGATCTCGGCTTTAGTTTTGTCCCGTATTACCAATATATGCGGGAACTTCTTATGGATCGGGGATGTAAACAAAAGCCACTCGGTCTTGGTTTCTTGGCACCAGCTCTGCCGCCCTAAGACCGAAGGAGGCCTTGGCTTATGAGATTTTAGAGTCCTCAACTCTTGCTTTCTTGCTCGCGGCTCTAGAATATTCACAGGAAAGCGGACTCTATCCGGATTTAGTGGATTCACCATTTCTACTTGCAAGACAAGTTGTGTTTGGGAGGTAGAAGC